CGTCGTCCAGTCGATTTTCTCGTAACACGCACGTTGTACGAAATGGTATCTTTTGTACTATTTTCACTGCTCTAAACTGTGCTGTTTTTTTTTTGCCGCTAATGCACAATTACAATAATAAATAATAAACCATCCTCTCTTTTTCTCTCTCTTTTACGCAGTCTCTAGGAACTTCTTAAATTCGACTACGTTAGCTCGCAGAAGACACATCGATTTTTTTTCTTTATTTAAAAACTCTCTATAAGCGGCATAAGGTATCCGACTATGAATAACAGGTACGCAAACGATGTACGGAATGCTCGTGAAAGGGTAAAAACGTTTTGTCTCGCGAAATCATTTGCTTGGCACAATCCTGTGCTTTAATCAGAGACTGGCGCATTTATAATACTCTCTTCAAAGGCTTCGGTGTTCTTGTTATTCCACTCTTCGATAATAATCAAACATTTCGATTTTTTCGAGAACAAGTTCTTCTTTCTCGAAAAATATATTCATATCTTAGTGTAGGTTTTGAAAAATTGGTATAGTTTATATTTTTTTATAATATATGGGATATTAAAAAGTTAAATGTAATTTAATCCATTTATCACTGTAGCTTGTAGCTTATTAAAAAGCTAGCCTTATAGAAATTCAAAGCTCTAAATTGAACATCATCATTAAGATTACGTATATAGCCTATATTGTGTTCCATTCCGTATTCTATTCGTTTTAAAAATGTTTGCACAAAAAACATGGAAATTGTACGCTATTACGTTTAGCAAATAATTCATACTAAAACGAATCGATAAAATTATCTCAATAATAAACACGAAAAAGTATATATATTCCAATTTTGTTCTCTTTTTAATTAGCATCTAAAGGATATGGTTATTCTAGTGATTAAAAACTCCTTTCTATAGCGTTACACATGAAGGCTTGAAAGATAACGTAATCCATCACAGAAAAAAAATATCGCATGCAAATTTATATAAAAATAAAAGCATGACGGATAAGCGTATCAAGGAATGGAACGTCGTTATGTATGTACCACAATTTATGATTGCTTTAAGAGATTTGGAAATTATTTCCCTCAACGTTTTTTTTTCATTCATCTACTTTTCGCACGATGGTATCTCACACTCTTCTCAATCCATTCGCTCATCTCACAGTCGTTAAAAACTACAAGAAGAGGCAGAGGTAACAACTTGAAACCAATCATTCGGAATATGAGACGTGTACGTAGCGGAAGCGATTTGTACGAATAATTTGTACGAAATTAGAAAATATTCGAGGCGCGCGATTTATACAGAACATTGGCGCAATAACAACGAGCCGCGCGGGCATTAATAATTAATAATATACGCTTGTTCATCACCTTTCTTATTATCCCTACGACTACTAATAACAATGAACTACAAGTGTCTTGTTGCAGATATGTACTCCATCGATAAACATCTAAAATTAGACTAGACGAGTTGCACTCATCGCGCGATTTAGATTGTTGCGAAAAAATCGGCACGAGATTCATCTCGACGGGTAAAACTAACGATCACGAGTGCGAGAATTTTTCGGCGTGGAAGTGACAGTTACACTCGCAAATATAATCCGAGATGCGATTTCAAAATGTTTGGAATCGTTATCTCGGCAGCGCTCTACTGAAACAAACAACTCATTTATTCGTTCAGGTAAGACTACGATGCAAAATCTACAAGATTTACTTGTTCTATATTCCATTTTCTCGTCTAAAAGACACATAATCGCTACCGCGACTGCATTTGTGGATGCGAAACATTATGCGACACTTGCTATCATTCTAAACGATTGCATGAGCTTTATGAAAAGATAGATATCGATTTTGATTTAGGCATACGCGATACACATTATCGTTAAAAATGGCAGGTTAACGGCCACGAGAGTCGTGCATCTAAGCGTATAAGACTTTCATGCATCAATTATGATGCTGGAAATGTAATGATAAAAGATGCAGTCCAATGCTCCCAGATATTTTCGCTTTTATAGACTATTTATGGGCTATTTATGGATCCAAGTGAGCCGATTAAAATCGCTTTAAAGCGTCAATTAAATGATCTTATCTGAGATAAAAACAAACGAATGAAACCTTATCCAGCTGCCCTCTCCCTTATCCGAAACTAAGCTGGTATAAAAAAAAAAAAAAACCGCGTAGCTCAGAATTAGGAGCTCATATCTATATACCTCGCAAGTTAAAAACTTTTTTGAACTCGTCAGGGTCACTCCTCATTATCTATGAATATGTATATGCGACAGTAATTGAAAATTACTGCCTTAGTTTTATATCATCTATCCGTTTCGCGACGAATTCATCACGTAAAACATTAACAACTCTTGAGTGTGAATTATTTCGCGATTCCTACACTTACGTACTGCTTTCCGCAATATTTAAGATTGATTGCACCTTTGCCATGATTAATTAACTATTTTTTCTTCATCCCCTTTATATGTATAATAAAAGATCCAGGATCAAAACGCCGAGCGTTAATTTTAGCAAAATGATTGGTGTATTACACAGTTAATTGATCAAAATTGACCAGGGTACAATCGATGTTAAGGGTGATGCACCTTAGGCACCTGTCACAGATGATTATAGCCATTACAAGCCCTTGGGAGCAAGTACATTGACTGCGATCGTTGGGTGGTGATGATGATGATGGTGCGACTATATGCAGTGTCTAATAGCGGTAAGAAGCGGGGGAAGCAGCTACGACGAGAAACGGTATTCCTGAGGAAGACAATTCGCGTCGGAGCTCTTGTAAGTTGCGCAACCGTATCCGCTCGACTTGTTGGCTCTCCTCTTTTCCTCCGTCGTCGTCGACTTTCTTGTTTTATGGGGACGTAATATCAGTGTAGTGGCCTGGCTTTCCTTCGACTCTTCTTGCACGCGTGTCTTCATCCTCCGCGGCTGCTCGTCCGATTCTTTGTTTTGTTTTTCCGCTACTGCTTCGCTGCGAACGTGTTTCTCCTCTGCGATATATAGAATCATATAAGAATCAAATCTTAATTTTTATTTATTTTAAAACAAATTTTGAAAAATGATAACAATCGAACCAATAGTTTCCAAGAAAAAAATACATATAGGTCGAAAAACATGATTTTAAAGAAGAGCATTTCAAAGGATTTGACTATTCTTATATGTTCAACATTTTTTTAGGCACTTGGATATATCCATAATTATTTTATATAGCTCGAAATGTTCAGGAAATTATTGACTTTTTTCTTAAAAAATAAAAATAGATTTGAATATTTTAATCGTTTTGCACCTGCATCTTTAAATCGCAGAACACGCTCGTATACGAACCTTCCACGACGTCGCCGAATAGAATCTTCGGTGTCCTCGCGACTACACTTTTCCCCTCACCGTCATCCTCACCGCTCGTGTATTCTCTCTCGGTGTTGTTATTCGTGCGGAATATCGATTCGAGAACCTGTCGCGAGAGTAACGGCGATGCGGGACGTTTTTTCGACGAGCGTGTATTGGCCGTCGTATTGGAGTCGTACCCGTCCGTCTCGTTATCGCACATGCTCGTCGTGGACACGCTGTCCGTGATCAGCTTCTCGGTATCCGAGTCGCCGGTATTGCTGTAGTAATTATTGCCGCTGTCGGATTTTTTTAGGATCGACTTCGACATCCGGTGGCGATCCATAAACGGCGTGCCGTCGCTATCTATGGAGTCCGCTGATAACGAGAGCTTACTCTCAGCGCTCGCTCCTGAAACGGATCTCATTACGCCGTGTTTTGCGACGTGATAATAATCGGGTAAAGACAACTAGAGATCGACAAACCAGCAAAAAAGATACGATTATGAAATAATCTAATCGTCTTATTTCATTACTATTTAACTCTGAAGATCATAAGTCTATTGTAAGTCTATTCATTTACTCAGACTATAAAAAACTTGTCAAGGATATTTTATATTTTTTATACAGGTTGGTCCTTGTAACGGTCGCCACGATTTTTAAGGTACTTACAATAATCTGACATAAAAAAGTCATAAACAGAAATTATATATATATATATATATATATATATATATATATATATATATATATATATATATATATATATATATATATATATATATATATATATATATATATATATATATATATATATATATATATATATATATATATATATATATATATATATATATATATATATATATATATATATATTAATTTTTGTTCACTTTTATATATACAAAACATATACAAAAAAATGTTTGGTCAATTTTTATTCTTGCAATTTGTTGCCGGTTAGAAACTGATAAATTTCTGTTTATGACTTTTTTATGTCAGATTATTGTAAGGGCCTTAAAAATCGTGGCGACCGTTACGAGGACCACCCTGTATATAGCATTATTAAAAATTAAAAGATGATACTTCTTTATGTGTTCTATAAGCATATTTTTCTATCTACTTTAAAAACTAAGCATGCATTTTCACCTGAATAGTGGCAATAAAATTCTGAAAATTAAAATCAAATAAAAATCTGAAAATTAATAATCAACACAAATTTCGTTGATGGCCCAGAATTTATATAATAAATTAATCCAACAGTCCAGTTCTTTTCAGTTTCTCGGCATGAGTTTGTTCAGCAAATAGGGAGCTACCGCCAAAGAGAGAAATCCAATTAAGTGAAGATCAAATATATTTACCCGTGTAATGCTTTGGTCCGCCGAGGGATCCAAATAAGTGGTAATTGATGATGCGTGTGGCTGACGCCAGATTCGTCGGCACGAACGTGGAGGGTTTGCCACCGCGCAGTCCTCCGTAATCATTGTTATTGTCCTCCGTGGCGGCAGTCTCCCTCAAGATACCACGCGCTACCACGCCTTCCTGATCGCTGACGAATTGCGCTTGTGGCTTTACGCTCTGCAATCAACCGCGATTGACGATTATATTATACTTGGACTTTACTATTGCGGCTTGTAATAATGCGCGTACAGTAAAAACAAGTCGCTATGCCTCGTGTTCTCTCATATTGCTGCATATTTAGCCATAAAACGGAAAAATTTTTATGTATATATACAAATATATATTAAAATTGCACAATCATAAGCAGTAATAAATATAAGCGATATATATATAGCGATACATACATATATGTGATCATAAATCGTTGTAGAAATAATAAATTCGAGATAGACATTTAACGTGGTGAAAGGATGCACATTGATGTGCAATGCATTTTTAAATACATTGAAGGGAGAGGAGACTTGATTTGATCTAAATCTCTATGATAAACTCGTAATAGATATCTTTTTAAAAAAAAAAAAAAAAAAAAAAAAAAAAATCAAAAATATACATAAGAAATGGAGTCGAGACCGAATAAATATGTAACAAAGTCCTATTTTTATATATAATTTTATGTTAAGATCTTTTTCTATTAAAAGAACATTTATAACTTCCTCTTTTTTTCCTTGCTCTTTTTTTTACTTTCTTTTTTCCCCCCTAATCCCCTGGTCCCAATCGTTTTTTGAAGGTGATACCTTTTATATAATATAATAATATATTAATTTAATCATGCTATTCTGAAGAAGATGAGGTGCCTAGGAAAAATACATTTAAATGTGCTATGGAATATAGAGGATAATAGAGGGTACATCGATATGAAAAGTTTATCAGATGAGCAGACATGCATGTGTATTGTTAATGAATGTGATTTAATGATATATGTATACGTTGGCGTTGCGACTATTCTCGAGGATTAATTGACTCAGATTTTGCTTTCTTTCCACATTATAGCCTTATAATATAAACAAAAGAAAAACAAGATTTTATATATAATTGGCGTATTATTATTTTATATATAATTTACGTTTGTGGCTGCAGGTAGTAGAAGCAGCACAATAACACGCCTATATGGATCAAGTAATATGATTACGTTAATTAGTTAGCTGACAATGCGTACTATATCCGATTAATCTGGATAAAATTCGCAAATAGGAATTCACGGATAAAATGGCCTAAATTGACTAATTTTGATTCAAAATTCGTATCTATTCCATTTTGTAATTTAGGTGAATTGAAATTAATAACATACACAAGATTGAGTATCGAAATATTCGTTTAAAATATTAAATATATAGAATTAGCTTGCCGAGAAATTGTTTAGAAACCCCTAAACGAGAGCATTACTATATATATTATTGTACTAATAAAAGTTATCGCGACCTATAAAAAAATACGTCATATATATAAGTATTATTAACGACTAAGATAAAAAATTTTAACTATGTCAATGTGTTAAATTAAAACTTTACATTTAAATATGCAGCTTGATTGATAAAAAGAAATTATCATAACAAATCGGTGAAATCACGCAGATCCTGCGATATAAGTTGAAAATTCCTTGTTTTTAACTTCATTCTCTTTTTACTTCCTATGGAAAAATTGTGAGAATGAATTCTCAATCCATACATACAATTTTTCCGGTAAAAAGCGCAGTAATAGAACAATAGATAAAAATAATGCAAATTTGATACCGTAACAAAAATTTTTCTAAAAATATTATTACCCTTCGAAATTATAGTCTTCGATTCTCAATATTTAATTTCTCGCTAATAAATGTCAAATTGAAATTCAATAAAGAAGAAAATATCATATGCATTCTCTGGTATTTCGAAAGTATAATTCAAAGCTCTGACGCTGATCTAAATTAAGTTCAAGCTGCGAACAAACATTAACAGTTTAAGCTGTGAAGAAAAATCGACTGCCAGTTCGATAAAGGTGTCTTATTTCTTTACGCCTTTTTATCGGGTATAGTGCACATGCCATTGGCCCTGAGACGTTAGTTCCGTTACGCAAGGTGAACGATACCCGCTATCTGTCGCCAGCCAAGCGCACGAACACGCTGTCACGCTGCGAACGAGCTTACTTCCGTTTCCGAGCGCCAACGTGCGATATCGCACGTTTCCCCTCTGACGAGCATCGGAGCGTTCAGAAAAGTACGATAGCCTGTGGCAATCGCTCAACTGCGCTCCGCTTGTAGTCTCGGTGGTTTTTGCGGCTGAAAAAAGCAGCGAGGTGCGGCGCATGAGTGCGTGCGGTCGTGCGATGGGGTGTAATGTGTGTGACTTAGCATCATCTCTTTAAAAGTATGACACACACCGCAAAGTGTCACTACGAGATTACGTTTCTTTGATTAATGTGCATATTACGTTTTTCCATAACAATTAAAACCTGCCACAAATGAGATACCGCATAAGTTTATTTAGTAAATCTTGCAAAATCATTCGCGTGGCAGATAATTCAATTATATTTTAAAATTAGATAATATACAATTAATCAGAAGAGCGTGCTTCTTTGAGTTGTCTTATTTTTAAAGAGAAGGTGCGGATCCTATCACGACCTCGCAGAAATTTTAAAATTAAAAAAAAGAATTAGTACAGCCGTGAAATTTAATATATTTTTCAATCCTCTCTCTCTCTCTCTCTTATTAAATACAATAAAAAATAATTTCCTAAGATCAAGATTGTATTATATTTCTAAAAATATCATATTTACCATGTCTATCATATTTCAATAAAAATTTCTTGTTTGTATTTTTTTTAATATTATTTTTTTTCTTTTTACTAAAAATTTCTGCGCTATACTGTTAATCGAAAGTATTTAGTGTTGGTTGAAATGGTTATGAGAATGTGGAATAAATGTAATAACGCGATATCTTGCAATGACAATATCTTGATATCCTGATGTTATAAAATTAAAACAATGATTACGAAAAATTCATATTATAAAAAATAAATATCTATTCACTTTATCATTGAAAGATTACAGTATCGCATTTATTCGGAAAGACTGAAAGTGGTTGATAATGATAGTTTGGGATTACACTCATATTTCCCTAATCTCTTTACCGATTTACTAATCGCACTTCGCTGTCTTTGATTTATTTCATTTTTATTCATTGATAATATCGATAATCGCACACAGTACAAAATAAACAGAGATTGAGACAGAGCAAGTTATATGTATAGGTAATATTAAAGAGCTCACCTGTTGGATCCTTATCTTCCTGTGTTTGGGTATCATGTCGTTCAGGTTGATCTTGCAGGCCTCATTAGAAGACCGTATGTCCTTCAGGGATTCGATGCTGGGCGATGCATCGGTGATGATGTTTCGGCCGACCTCACCGGAAATAGATTTTTTCACACGACCAGTTCTGCACTTTTCCGTTACCTCCAGAGGATTCACGTAAAGATTGCTGTCCGCTTCCTCGGTCAGATCGCCCTACGGAAGCGAAGGGATTGTCCCGCGACCGAGATTTGAGACTCTATGGAGCGTAACTTCGTCGCGGAAGTGTTCTCGCCTGCAGGCGACTAAAATCTATCCTAGTCTAGTAATAGCAGATTAGGTACATATACTAGAGCGAGCAGGGGGGTATCTCTCATTTTCATCGTTTTCAAATGTTAATGATTCCTTGACGAATTTAGGGTATATTTTTGCATATAACGAAGATTGAATAAACAACCATTATATTAAAAAAGAGCACATTTTTAATTTTTATCGTTAAATACATTATTGCGTACACAATAGAGTTTCATGAGAATTACAATTTTATTTAAAATTAATTCAATGTCCATTTAAGTTATTCAATTATGTTGACCTGAATGTTTAGTACTATTATTTGTTGAATTATGCGTGCGCGTGCACGTCACAAAAATATAATAAATTAATGAATTATAAATGAATCTTTTCACGTGTAAGATGCTGCATATAATGCCATCACTTCCGTCAAAAGACATTTTATAAATTAATTGATTATATTTTAAATTAATTGAATAAAACTATTATACTATTATATTAAATTGACAATTGTTTAGTGATATTTTTTCGAGTGCAGTAATATAACGATAAAAAGATTAGGTGCGTTTAATGTAGTTTGTAAATAAAAAAAAGTTTACTTTAATTTTCGATATTAAATATCACCTGTCATACACAAGTAAATATAGCTCTATATTTATTAAGAGCAAATCAACTTTGAATTCGCCGAATAATTCATTAACATGTGATGCGTTAAAGGTGGGACAGCTTACATCAGTGCTTCCTCGTCTCTTTCACGTCTCATCGTAGTATACATAGAAATATTATAAGATATTTGTACGGCAGATTCAGATCTCATTATCATCAATAATAATAGATTCAGATAAAGATGATAGAAGCATAACTATTCAAATGTAATTTTCAAAGAATGATTTTAAGGTTTCTTTTCGCTGTATAAGAGATATTCGCAAGTACAATATCTCGTAGTACGTGTGACATCGTAGAACGATGTTGGGAAGCTCTGGTTTACATGGCACATGTATCATATTATCTTTTTACACGGATGTGCATCATATTGTCTCGTAGCACGTGTTGATTTTTACGTGACGATTATACGCTGCAAGAGTTTGATCTCGCTATTATCCGCGCGACTCGCGTACCTGCGAATGTGACGGATGCGTCTGACAGCTCGCGTACGTGTCGGAACTGTCAACGCTCCCCTGCTCGTTGTACGTCTTCGCGTAGCTTCCCTGCTCGTTGTACATCCTCGCAAAGCTCAACATCTCCGACGGTTGAACGGGCGATATCTTCGGCTCTGCGAGTAACGAACCTAATTGTTCGACGCCGCCACCGCTCTCGGTGCCGCCGCCCCCGCTACTACTGCCGCCGCCGATACTGAACCTGAGGGACCTCATTTCCTGACACACTGGATTACGAAAGTCGCTGGTAGCAAGGGGCATTATGTTCTCCGCGTCCCTGAAGTCTTTGTACTCCTAAAAACACGAGGTGGATGAAAAGTCTCGATTATGCGATTAGGGGCGAGGGTGCTAGAAGGCGGCGCTTTTAAATTAGTCTAAATTCTATGATACGCTGATGCAGGGCGGCGCAGCTTCCTCGACTCTGTTCTCGAATTAGGGCTTTCTGCTTAAGAGACGACTCTCGAGAACGTTTAAGATCGGTTTCATAGCAAAAACCATTGTTTCTTAGGCGATACGAATGTCTAAAAGATGCTAGAAAGATATCTCTATATAAAAGACGTCTTGTCGCGCACTTTCTGGACTTTTGCATCATTAGTTTAACGTTTTTGCGAATCAACTAAATTTTCCTTCTCTATCCAAGTTACAGATAGAATCATAACAGAGACACATACATACACAGAAGAAAGCAGGGAATCGCTGTCAATTCGGAGTCATCAAGAACTGAGAGTCGATCCACTGGAAAATGCGCTCGTCTCATTAGCAACGTTCGCGAAGCGATCGTTTGACAATAAGAAATAAAGAAGCCACAGAAGGACGTGCTTTCTCTACATAAGTGAAAGGATAGTTTCTAGCGATTGACGTGTGAGACAATTAATATACTCGCCTGGATCATACGTCCGCGCGTACGAAATGTGCGTCGGATATATGCGATATGTGATCGCACACATCTACTTAATCTACGTCTATTTAAGAGAAAAAAAAATTATTTTATCGCGTATTAAGATTTCGTTTCTGAAGCACTTTTCTATTGCCAGAACTAACCTACCGGATGCAGGAGACAGACACGCGATCTTTCTAAAGTCGCTTTTTGAGATATGTCTACCGTGCGCTGCTACTCGTTGCCACTCTAAGCATGCTTCGAGTTGTTGGTGAATGATGCGATATAAATTGTTCTTAAGAAATACACCAACGTTCCATTGCACGACAATACATGTGCCGTACCATAGAACGTATTTGTGTATATTGCATTATACGAGTGTAAAATAATGTGTATGTGATAATCAGAAAAAAAAAGATAAGTTTACCTTGTCGTCTTTGATCTTGTCTCTCGTCCTTCGTATGTGCTATTATATGAAGAGTATTACACACGCGCGAAGCGCACATTTTTTCATACTTTCTCTTTCTCTATGGCAAATCCAGAGAGATTATGATATTCTTCTTAAGAACATTTAGTTTATCTTTAAATAATTTAAATAAAGAATAAAATATTTGTTCTTTAAGAATAAAATAATTGTTCTAAAAAGAAGTTTCTCTAAAGATATGTATAATTTCATAAAGTTTCTTCAAATTCAATAAATACTAAGTTGATGATTTCTCTAGTTTTTTTTAAAATACATAAAATTGTTAGTGTAAATAAATGTTGATAAAACAAAAGAAATTGTGATAAAAAATGGATAAAAAGAGAATCATACATTATAAATTATTACTTTATAAAAAAAAAAAAAATGTAAAATTTATATTATGACAATTTTTATGAGATTATATATATTATTTCAATAATTAATTCCATATAAATTTTTTTGATTCGTTATTTTGTGATTTAATAACATTTTTGGATATTTATCTGATCGTAAGATGAGAACGTACATACTTTTTAACCCTGTAATATTGTATTTTAGGAATTTCACATACGTAATAATATATTACGGATATTTTACGATTCAATTATGAAATAAATTTATATATCTTTATAGAAAACTTATTTTTTCGTATATTTGATAGAAATATTTATATCAGTCATAAAACATTCTATACGTGTTAAAATTTACGATATTATATATGAATTTAATATCTCAAATAATATATTATTTATTGTAACAAAATTTGATATCAAAACGGAATATGTTAGAATTTCTGTATATTGCGAAATTATGTCAAAGAAAAAAAAAAGGAATTATAATACTAGTGCGCTTCGCGAATGGATGTACGATCATTATAAACGTGTATCTTTCATTTCAATGAAATTCGAAATTGCCTTTTATTCGGCTGTTCAACCAACGAACATGTCATAAAACAATAATTATCTTCGTACAATTTGATATTCACGCAGTCGTATCACTATATGCACGATTGGCGAAATAACATTTCGGTTTCGAGAGTTTTGTGTAATATTATTTTATAACGCGATGTTAGCTCAATTAAAAAGAAATTGATATGCGCGCTATATTTTATTTCATCGCTGCGGGACGAGATTTTCTCAAATTGTGCTCATAATCAATAACTGCTACTGACATACTTTGTAACTGATCACTTGATATACAATATTAAAAAATAGAGTTTCTATTTTTTATTTTCTTTTCTTTTAAATAATTATATTTGCTAAAAAATTATACAAAAGCTAGTGTATGTGTTGTAAGTGAAAATATCTATATAATTAGATTTGCTCAAGAAGAAAAATATGGCTTCTTAATATACGCATTATGATGAGTACTATGTATGACAGAACTAAAAATTAAAAATTTCCAACATAATTTTTTAGAGCTTATGGATTGAAAATGTATCTTACGATTTTATAATTTTATTCATTTAATTTAATATGAAGGAAGATTCAATTTTAAATTCACTTAAATAAAACGATAATTTTTAAATTTGTAATTACATAGTACAAAAAAAAAAAAAAATTATGCGACGAGCGCGCGTTGATAAATCTCGTCCTGTGAATTAACTCGATCGCGTGATAAGTATACGACCGTGCTGCGTGAGATAATGAAGCGAATAAAGTTCAGGACGAGTACATGTATATTTTGTACCGATAATTTAATGAAACTGGAAATTCAAAGAGAGGCGAGTATAATATTTTTGTATACATACGATCTTTCTATTGAAATGCTCCGTTCGAACATCAATACATTTTATACTCGTCTATGAATGGCTTTAAATAATTTCCTGCCTTTTCACGAATAAACTTATTCAATGGAAGAATCGCTAATTATAACGGAGAAAGATGAAATTAAATATAATAACTTTGACCAACAATTTTTAAAGGTCTCTTTTTTAGATAATTATATTTAAACGGACATTATTATATATAAGATATTAAAAAATATATAATACTGTTTATTATATTCTGCGTAAATTATTTGTAATTTTTTAACTAAAAATAAATAATATTTAATATCTATTCTCTGTTAAAAATATCAAGTCTGCACAAGAAATCAATAATAGATTACATTAAGTTAATAAAGACAAGAATTACATTATGTAAATGACTAGGATGACATAAATGTACAATATATTCAGATTGGATATTTTCTATGACATTCAAAGATACAAACTAAAAATGTATCGCTGATACTTCTATTCGTTTTATAAATAAAACCATCATTGTTATATATCTTTACATTATAATTTTAATCACATTTTTTGAAAAGTGATAGAACCTGATTTTTCAACAATTAATCTAACGATAATAAGTCGTAACGAGCAGTGATATTTGCACGTTTTCTTAAAGCGAGAAAACGAAGATGAAGACCCAATTCCTAATCATGAGAGTAAAGGGAACGACTCGCGAGTGGCTCGGTGCGGCGGGCTTCTCGCGTGCGGCAGCTCGTTAACTTTAAACTTGAAGGCAGGAAATTATCCTCACGTCGTACACATGAGGTATATACGCGCGCGTTTTATCGATTCTAAAGTATATTTGGCTCTCTAGTTGGAGGGTATCAGGGGAAATGGTGGTGTTGAGAAGGCATCGCGCATATCGGCGCGTGGCGTGACCGCCCTATAGGCGATAACACCACGTGCCTTGACCTACAAAATGTCGTGTGTTAGGCACGCAAGTTTTGATAGGAGACGAGCTACGGTTGCGTCTAAAGCTTTTGAGAATGAACGATGGTGTTGTATCAATGAAAAAGTTGTGCTGCTCCGTTGAGGAGAGATGGCAGGGGAGGCAATGCATACACCCAGTGGACTATGTAAAGAGTGTGCACATATCGGTGAGCGTATAGACTTGGATTTGCGCAGAATGATATGCCTCGATTCCTCGGGAAGCAAAGAGAGAAAGAGAGAGAAAGAGTATTAAGGCAAAAAAAAAAAAAAAGAATCACATGCCGCCCGCAAAGCCGGACGGGCGAAAGTTTGTGCCCGGATGAAGAGTACGAAATATGCAGAGAAAAAATATATATGTGTATATTTATGTGCATATACATATATATCGCGCTCTCACGCTAATATAAAATAGAGATTAGATTTTTTAATGGTCACGCGCGACGAATATTATAAACTCGCTCGACAGCCCATTGGTGTATGTAGTGCCGCCTGAGGAAAAACATTAGTGATCGTAAATACCTTCGTAGTACAAAAGCAACACTCGAATTCGCTAGGTAATTCATCAATTTTCTCGAATTTTCTGCTGTCTTTTTTCTCTTCATCCTATAAAAGGTCATACACACAATTTCCTGTTTTACTTTTCGTGAGTAAACACACAGCCCTCAGTTCGGAAGCGATCGAAGCGTTTCTTTTTCTTACTCTCTAATGTATTCTTCTTCCTCTCTTTCTCTCACTATTGTTCCCTCGATTGTGATTATTGTTGATAAAACGATTCGACCGCTTCGCGAGCGAGCAGAAATATCAAACTTAATGTGAGCATAAAAAGACGAGGCAACGTATGATCACGTGGAGCCAGAGAGAGAGAGAAAGAGACAAAGACAGGGTTTTCGTGTCACGCGAAATTGAGAACAAAATTTGCCACAGCATGTCGACGATCACAAAACGAAAAATCAAATGTACGTCTCTCTTTATGTGTATACGATCTGTTTATCTCAACCGTTTCTGCGCGCGACCCTTTCAAAAAAACAATACCGTCTCCGATAACAATTGTAACAATATTTGAGTTTTGTCATTTTTTATGTAATAATAGATAAATAAAACTAGAATGATTAATTAAAAAATAAATAAAATTAATGGAGTCAAGCTTGACATCATAATGTTCGTAATGTGTCCATAATATTGCAAATATTGCGTTTCATGGATTTTCTGGCACAAATATCATTTTTCTAATCTTGATTTACATCCAGATTTGATTTAAGCACCGCTCATTTTTTCACAATTCAGCTTATAATTTTGATTTAATTTGTCCCATTTTCAAATTTTTTAGATTTCTACCATATGTTTTTATTAATCCTTTATTGCTTCTTATTTACTTTGAAACGATGGATTTTTTCAAAAAAACGGTCGAGAAATGTTTAGCCACTTAATACAACATACATTTATATCGTACCGAATTTCCATCATATGAATCGTTAATGACAAATTCCTTGTAAAAATTATAGTCAATTTTTTTTATCGAAAACATGACGAGAAATCATATTACTGATTGTAATTTTTTAATATATTTAATAAGATAAAAAACATATCTAATTAAGTTTCTACGAAACTAAAGATTGCTCGAATACAACTAATAAGTACAATTCTATATCATTCATAATTTTAAAGCTTCAAATTATTCAGAAATATTGAATACAAAACATTTTCTTAATTTAAAAGAAAAATAAATTTCAAACTCATCAACAAATTTATCATTAATAATCGATTCGGCAGAGAAACGAACAACCGAGGTGTACAAACACGGTGCTGGAAGTGTCGAGTGTAAAAGACGCAAAATTGTCAATAAAACGTGTCTTCGGTGAAATGTGGAATTTCGCGTGGACGGACGTCACAATTATTTTTTATTACATTACTTACGCGAATGGCACATTTCATAAGCGTACTTTCCGAAATCGAGCCGCATTCAAGCTGCTGTCCTGTCTATGTCGGTGCGTTGCGAGCGCGATAAAACTTTAACAAAATACTTGTAACAATGAAACAATTGATTTCTTTATTCTAATGTATTATCATCATATTACGGTATATGCAAACATATTAAAAAAAAAAAAAAAAACAACGGTATTTCAGTATCAGCTTGAGTTTAGAGGATTGTTTTCTGGTTGAGCCAGTTGGGTATTACGCATATCACAAGTATTACAGTATTGTTTTCGGACATCAATTGAGACTAATTAAGGTCCAAGTTATTTCACACGTTTAGTTTCTCTCATCTTTTTATAATTCCATATAATTACATATATTTAAAGTTGAATAGCTGTATGCAAAAAGGATAGATACGAAATAACTGTTCCTTATCCATTGTAGCAGATTGAGAAATTGATTTGTCCAAAATATACAATAACTATATTAAATTATATAATTACATATTATTATATGTAATAATTCATTGTTTTCCGAAGTTATTCTCTTTTTTCATTTTTTTATTTTACTTTCAAATAAAAAAACTTTTTGATTAGGTTATCTTAGTTGTTAGTTATAGATTATCTTAATTAATCTTAATTAGTCTCTTTTTTAACAATAACTCACGATAATCATGCGCAATGAACTTTACTGCAACTAAAAGTTCGTTTTCTTTCACAATGCAATGATCTCGCAGTAAACTCTATCGATTAATTTGTTCGCTCTAAATGATGTATATAAACGACGCGAATATATAAAGAGGTCGAACGACTTCCGATTATAGCAGCTCTATATTTATGTTTGTTACAGGAAAGTAACGGTGTAAGACAATGTTTATGTATAGGCAGTGTACACGCATATACACACATGCACGCACACAATATTTCCAAGTTATTTCATTCTTAATGGTAATACATGTATAAGCACGAAATAATCGCGCAAATCCATGTTGCGTGTAATAACGTATACCTATTTCGTAATATACATATATATATATACATATAATCTATCGTTACAGCTTTTAAAAAATTGCATTACAAAATTGCATTTATATATATATTACGAATGTATGTTAATTATTTGTTAAATATTTGTTACGAATATTGAAATGGCGCGTTTATCATAATACACAGTTTAATTTTCGACTAAACAGCTGATAACCTGAAGAAAAAGTACATAGAAGTGATCTAGTGTGATTAATGGTGCGTTATGATTTTTCAATCATCGGAGAAATTGTAAATGTTAACGCTTTACTTTATTAAATATCTACTTTGACGAGAAATATGTTAATTCTTAGACGAACACGTGGACGTACAAAGCGCGCCGATTTATTGTTTTTCTTCTTTTTTTAATAAATGACTAAAGATAAAATGCGTCATCAAAGCAAACCAAATAATCTGATCATCTGAAGTCTCTCATTCAGTATTTGCATATTAATAGCATTGCGGCTAATAATTTCTCGTGCAAAATGAATTGGAGAAGTGCGCGCGTATGGGTGTATGTATGTTTAAAAAATCATAGTTCAAATTTTACACGCGTGTATTATTTATCAAAGAAACATAAAAATGTCATTAAAAGTATGTCCAAAAATCAATCATTTTCAAGTTAAAAGATACAAATATTTTCCTTTTCATAGAAGGTATTTAATATATGTAAAACCTTTATATGAATTTTTAAATTTATATCTCAGCATATCTGCTCATTAAAGCTCACATAGATTCACCTAAAGAAACAGAAAATTATTAGTGAACATAATATTGTAAAAATCAATCATTTCCGAATTTATAAGTCACACATTTTTGTTATGTCTTCTTTATTCAATCTGTGCGATTATAATAGCAAGTACCTTTATACATAAGAAAATTTTGTGACGTATTTTAAAAACGTTTATCTTTAATAAATGCCGAAATAGGAGAGAGATCAATTTATAACTGGTGACCAATTAGAAAATTTTGTGACGTATTTTAAAAACGTTTATCTTTAATAAATGCCGAAATAGGAGAGAGATGGGATATACTATACTTAATAAATTAAAAATAACAAAAACAAGATTACTGTTAAGAAATAGAGGAAAAATATTTCGTTGAAGTTTGTAGCGCGCGTTTTTGAAGCAAAAATGTAGAATTTCCTAATACTAACAATAAGTATATCTGCAGAAATGATTACATGTAGAGTATACATGTAAAATAATAAAATTATAATAAAAATATAAACTTGAGAGAAATATATAAACAATAAAAAAGCTACAAAATATTATAGTCCCAAAATTTCTGTAAGCAATCAATATTATATGCCAAAACAAAAAATTATTATTTTTTGTTCTACACACTTGAAACATTATTGATAATTATCCTTGCGTTTCTTTTATTTTTATTAGATTTAGATATTCCGTCTTTTTCTCTCTCCCTTTCTCCTTATCTCGCATATATTTCTTTTATATATGCGATATAATTTTTGTATAAATCCTCATTTTTTATCTTGAAATTACATAAAATAAAAAATAATTTAATGCTCACCAGTATGATGCGCAACAGTGGAGTTGTAGCACACAACGTTGATCTGTAAAATAAATATATCCAACTTATAAAGTAGTGTGTATCCAAAATAATTAATATTTAAAAAAATACTATTGCGCTCAATTCAATTTATTATTTGTATTTTAATAAAAGAAGTTATTTAATTTTTGAAAAAAAAGAAGAAACATTTTTATCATAAAACATATAATTAATAATTTAGTTCTGATATAAAGAAACTAAATAATTATAAATTTTAAATAATATTGAAATATTTTATACATATTTATACAAAAACATTAATTGTAAATATTTTATTAATGTCTAAAATATTTTTTAAAAAATCTTGAATATATTTATATATATCCATTATATATTAGATAATAATATAAAATCTATCGAAGGGAAATAAACAGGCAATTAATTTTCCCAGGTAACAAACAATAAAATAAATAGTTAAAGTTTGCTCAACTCACGGAGCTTCCTCGGGCCTGCTTCTCCTTTCTTGTTCATCCTTTGCTGTTCCCTTTATAGCACTTGCTCGCGAAAATATAGTTAATTGCGATTACGCGCGTACTAATCGATCGAATACACGGCGTTTACCATATAACTCTCGACACAATTTATTTTATATATTCGAAATGTATCGTACTAAATTTCGATTTTTGGATGGCACACATACTTTTAATTAGCTATTTTAACCTCCTGAATAATATCGTGTAATCAAAGTAAGGTTGTCAATGTCTTGCTCGAGTCTTTCGGTCATTAACAAAAGTATCATACAAAAGAGGGAAAAGGCAATTAAGAGCCATGAACATATGCGTTCAAATTACCGCGCTGGCTCTTAATTGCTTTTTCCCTCTTTCGTATGATACGTTTTGTTAATGACCGAAAGACTCGAGCAAGACATTGACGATCTTACTTTGATATTACGCGATATTATTCGGGTTAAAACGGCTAGTGTATGTATGATATATTCATAAGAGCCTTTATTAGTTTATTTTGCTTTTATACGCAGAACAAAACGTATTATCCAAGAAGATAAAATCTAGTAAATATGATCGTATTTTGATATCGCGATTGATAATTTATTAATCGTGTGGCAAAATTTCAAGATGTGTACATCGATAATCTGAT